AACATCGATGTGCGACACATCCACTGGCTACCACCCACATGACCCCAACCAGGGCCGGGGACAAACAGCAACCAAGGTACCTGCACTTTGCAGGAACCAAACCCAGGACTCTCCAGTCCGTGGGTCTACACTCTAACCGCTGAGCCAAACTGGCCAGGGCTTGACTGTTATTATTGTTGAACATTCTGAGGATGCTGCTCATACAGGATCACTATAAAACTAATGGTGTTGTTAGTTGGCCTTCCTATTATTGTTCAGAGAATTAATACCACTGTAAAATTTTTAAAAATTCAGCTACTGTACTCCCAAGGCATGTACCACACAGAGTTACCCACGTGAGAAGAAAATCAATGTCTGTAGTGCATTGCATCTGTCCTTGAGTCTTTCTGCTTGGGGTTCATAGTAAAAGAACTATTTATTTATCTCCCCACAGCATCTTTATCTCTCTGGCAGTTCTCACCTTTTGTTCATCATGTGGATTCTAGCCTGCTCATCTATTTGAAAGGCATTTCAAAGCGAATTTTGCATAGGCTGTTTTAGCTTGTATTCTAAACATCCTGAACTTTCCTATAAACATGCTGAAAATCTACCTAACTGTGTTGTAACACAGTAACAGGCAAACAGGAAATTAATTTTATTATTTTTAATTTCATCCTAAAAGCACTTCTAGAAATGTTCCATTTTAAAACTGCATTTCAAGTACCCCTTAATGAGATATATTCAGATATACCTATTCCTTTGACTAAAATACTGAACCCTATTATTTTTGTGTCTATCACTAGAAACATGCTCTTTTAAAAAACTGTGTCTCTGTGACGCTATGAGAATTTTTTATTATTACATTTTTTGTAATGTTCAGCAGAGTTAGTGACCTGTTCAAAGCTATCTATGCTGAAAGGCAGCAGAATGACATACAAATAAATCATCTTGTCATCTTTTAAAATAGTTTAGCTCAGTTTGTCAACGTTACTGGCTAGAGAGTGAAAAATCTACATCTACAGTGTTTAAGGAGAGGTATCTATATGTAGGCATTAAAGAATAAAGTAAAACTGAATTTCTTCTTCTAATCTGACTGTTGTTTATTGGGCACACTTAACTAAAAGAATGAGAATTTACTCTAGATAAAATGTACTCATGATTATTTTTACTCATGTTTTTACTTGATTAAAGTATGTAGTGGATAAGGGATTCTCCAGGATGTTTCTATGAACTAACTCAAAAGAGACATTAAAAAATGGTATATACTTAGGTGAACTTAGGCAGGTCTAGGACATCTGCTCCTTGAAAGGAGAACTTTATGGGTGGTCAACTTATAATCAGAAGTGTCCGAGGGTGAGTGAAACTCAAGTAAGAGGAAATGGTTGCATTGTCTGAGGGAAATTTGTCAGACTGAGGCCCCATCACCCAACAGGGGACATGTGTTACAGGGAACAGTTATTTGCATTTTGAGGCCTGAGTGTTTTTCCTCTGGTCAGAGTCTAGATGGATATCATTGGCATCTAGCTCATTGGATATCCTTTATCTATGTCTAGGCTCACTGTCTCCTCTTCTCCACCCCATATTTCTCCAGGAGGACAGTATTATCATCAATTAGAGTCCATCTTACCAAATCATAATCACAGTCCAGTCCTGCCTCACTGAGGAAACATCCTGATTTTTTAAAAGTTTCAACTACTTCTGTTCTCCTTAGCTGCTCATTTACAAATCAGCTCTAGCAATCCTGGTACCCATGAGCAAAAATCCATTTAGGGCTAATTTTGTTAATTAAAGTTTCACAGGGTAATTTTATTTCTCTTATATCCTTGCTTGGTTACCTATCTTCTCTGTCACCTTCATTTGCTACTCCATGGTGTTACTGCCTTCCCTTTATTCTTTTCACAGGGCAGACATTTTGATTTTTAGAGGGCAGACTTGCATTTATAGCTCAAGCCAAGGATGAAAATAAGCTTCAGATCAAGCATTTTTGAGGCTCCTAACCTCTTGAATAATTTCTAAACACAATTTATAGAATACTCAGGACATTCTAAATCTGACATTTCAAATACAAAATATGTCTTAAATGAATCTGGCTGTAATGATAATAAATTCATTTACTGAGTTACTAAATGGTTTTTCCATTTCAGCATGAAACCAGATGAGACACACATGGGTGGAAAAACCATTTGCGTTCTTTATCTGAGGAGAACACAGTAGACAGTGATGCAAAAACCAAACCCTTAACCTTTCCGAAGAGCCCCTTTTTATCTTTACCTTGTTGCTTCCTGTTGATATCAACTTATGGGCTCTTGATTCCTTCTGCCTCTAGGACTTTGGAGGTGGATAAAAGGACTGGAATAAATGTAGAATGTCTGTCCTAACCAGGCAGTTTTCTCAGAGAGGACTGACTCATGATCTATAGTGAGCAGTTCAGTTCTGAGTCGTTTCAGTTCTTATTCAGTGTACAATGTATAGAACCAACACATGGGGACTTTGGAAAGTTAGGGAGACTCAGGAAAAGATTCAGTCTTTCAAGGTCACCTGAGATTTTGAGTTCAGTCTAAGCAGGCTTTGAGTAAGTATCTAGTTATACTTGGGAATTTAGCTAGAACCAAGGAAACCAAGTGTAACTTGCATATAGATTGTAGTTCATAGATGGGGGGGCTGAGTGACAGTGTCATGGGATGATGCCAAATCACAAAATTAGATCACTCTAATATTCATCATTCTTAAGGGGATGTACAGAGAAACTCTAAGCACCAAGCCAATGAAAGATTGGGTTCAAGAGTTCAGATAGTGACAGGGCTTTGGTAAGCTTCTGATGTTGACAAGTGGCTAGTTTTAGAACATCTATTTTGCAGTATGTATATAGCTAGAATAATTCACAAATAACCATGTATATTATGAGATATAAACACCCATCCTGAGTATAAAACATTACCCAATACAGTTGAAATTCCTGTGTTCTCCTCTCTGGTTGCATCTCTTTGAATTTCCTTGTGTTTATAATATAAATACATGTATTTCTAAATCAATGTTGTGTCAAGTTAGTTCCTTCATTTATATGCTATTATTCTGCATGAATGTTTTTGTAACTTAAGTTTTTCATTCAATATTATGTTTGTGAGATATCTTCAGGTTGAAACATTTAGCACTGGTTAGTATTTGTTAGCAGTGCTTTTTATGCTGTGGTCTTTGTTGTAGGAAGAGAAGGAGAAAGAACGAGGAAGCCATTTAAGGGACCTCTCCTGTTATGGACAGTCTAAACTTGTCCCCAAGTGGTGACCCAATTTATCCATGAGTCAGCTGCAAATGTGGTAATGGGATCTGGCTAGTAAAGGATGCTAATTATAATGAAATAAACTGAATTTGCATAAAAAACCTAGAATCAACTAAATATAAATAACATTTCATGGTAATAAACATAATAAACATGATATAGACATAATAGATGCATATTTACTGACAATTATTTTTGAAATTTTTTATCCTCATCCGAGGACATTTTTCCTTTTGTTCAGATTGAGTGGGAGGGAGAGAAAGAGAGAGAAACATCGACGTGAAAGGGACACATCGAGTGGCTCCCACCCGCACGACCCAACCAGGGCCAGGGACAAACTGCAACCGAGGTACATGCCCTTAGCGGGAACCAAACCCAGGTCTCTCTGGACCACAGGCCGACGCTCTAACCACTGAGCCAAACCGGCCAGGGCTACTGATAAAATTTTTAAAAAATATATCACTGTTTCAAAATTTGGGCACTCAAAAACATGGATTTTTATGGTTCCATGACTTACATTTAAGTCTTTTATTCATTTTGAGTTTATTCTTGTGTATGGTGTAGGTTGGTAGTCTAATTTCATCTTTTTTTGCATAAACCTGTCCAATTTCCCTGGCACTATTTATTGAAGAAACTGTCTTTTCTCATTGTATGCTCTTGCCTCCTTTGTCAAATATTAATTGTGCATAACATCTTGGGTTGATTTCTGAGTTCTCTGTTCTGTTCCATTGATATTTATGCCTGTTCTTGGGCCAGTACCAAGGTGTTTTAATTACAATAGCTTTGTAGTATAACTTGATATCCCTATGTTCATAATAGCACTATTTACAATAGCTAAAATCTGGAAATGCCAAGTGTCCATCAGTAGATGAGTGGATAAAAAATCTGTGGTACATTTACACAATGGAATACTATGCAGCTGAAAGAAAGAAAGATCTCTTACCCTTTGAGATGACATGGAAGGACCTGGAGACTATTATACTAAGCAAAATAAGCCAATCAGAGAAAGACAAGTACCACATGATCTCACTTATTTGTGGAATATAATAGCTGCCTAACAAAATAAGTCCAGAGACATGGAAGTAGGGAACAGACTGACAAACCTCAGAGGGAAGGGGGATTTGGGGTGGGATGTGATACACGAAAAAACTTATATGCATATATGCATAACCAATGAATATAGACAGCAGTGTGGTGGAGGCGAGGTGGGGAGTGGGGTGGGGTGGGAGCCCGTAAGAAGGAGTCAATGGGGAAAAAAGAAAAGACATCTGTAATACTCTAAAAAATAAAAATAAATCAAATCTAAAACAAAAACAAAAACAAAATATTATGGGAAAAATGGCCTACTTAATTTTCTCTCCTTTGTTTTCTCCACCTTTTCAGTGTGTCTGGATTTTTCCCCAGTGGATCTGATTCCAGCCCTGTAGCCTTCTGAAGGATTGATGTTGAGTATCATAGTGAAACTTAGTTTCCACCTGACTGTACACCACAGCAAAGATTTTGGAGATATATTTCAGTTAAAACAATAATGACTTTCTTAGACTGTATTATCAGTGGAGCCTATTTTTTGTGTAGCCTGGGAGAATGCCTAACTAACATTGGTGATTCTTCAAAGACCTTGTAAAAACCACTCTACATCAAATAACTAAGTGACTGAGTTGTTCAAGTGGACCTTAAGAATTGGAGATAACAAATTCACCTGGAAGATTCTACCACTGTTATTCAGAGCTCCTGCTGAAATATCATGTCTAAGAACTCGGAGTTCATCAATCTCTCATTTTTATTAGATCATGAGAAGGAAATGATCCTGGGAGTCTTAAAGAGAGATGAATATTTGAAAAAAGTGGAGGACAAGAGAATAAGGTAATATTCTTTTATCTTTTCTGCCATTCTTGACTACTTTCTGTTTGTTTGAAGCAATTTAGATCAGAAATGGGACAACTGCAAACACATTGAAGACAAATGTTATTCAATGACTTCATGGGTTCCCAGCCAGAGCCCAAATATTTTTGGTACTTTGTTATTTAGCTAGATGGAAGGATGGAATTGAGTTAATAATATAGTGTTGATGAGAATGCCTATTTGGTAATAATGTAATAACTTGTAGCTAAGTGGAAGGACTGTCCAGGTTTTAGAACCAGCTCTGAGATGTATTAGTTGCATGACCTTGAGTAAGTTACTTAACTCCATGCCTTAGTTTCCTCATAAAATATACAAGGATAATAATTGTACCCACCTCATAGGGTTGTTGCAGCAATTAAGGAATATAATACATGTGCAGCATCCAGTACCTAAGTGTACAATGAATATTAGCTATTATTTATTTATAATGCTTTTCTCAGATCAGTCTTACTGGGACTTTGGCTCCACCATACCTGGGAGAAGAAGGGGAAAGGGGATCTGGTGCTCGCTTTGGCAGCACATGTACTAAATATTGGAATGATACAGATAAGATTAATATGGCCCCTGTGCAAGGATCACACACAAATTCATGAAGTGTTCCATATTTAATTTTAAAAAGGGACGGAGGGATCTGGAGAGTGAAAAGTACCCTTTCTACCCTAGAAAATGCCTAAATTGCTTTAAATACGTTTCTATGTGAAAAAAGTTGGGTAATATTGGCACAGGTGAGTTTCACATTAGTTGTAGGCAGGGTTGATATTTAGCTGCATCCCCATATATAATCTCACCTATGTTTCAGCCAGCATCCATTCTGATTGGTTGCATTTCTGTTCTGAACAGTCATATTGTTATTCTGATTGGTTGCTTCATCCACTGTGATTAGTTGCTACCTGAACTATCCTGCTTTTAAATATATTTGGCTATTACATTATCACTCCTGAACAGATGAGCAGAAGTAAAGTTTCCTCCTCATTCCAGTCACTGCCTACTACGAAACATGTAGCTTTTATGTCTTGTATGTTTCCCGAAAAAGCAATCAGAAGCTTTGTTTATTTTATATGAGGGGAAAACTTGTGGTGAGATTATCTTCACATGTTCCAAAAATATTCAATGTACCTAAAGCAATCCTTAGAATTGAAAATACATTGAAATATTCTTGATTGATGCTTATTTCATAGTTCAGAGCCCAGAATTTCCATTTCTATTACTCTAAGATATTCAACCAATCTTTTTTTTTTTTTTTTAAAGGAACAAAGGCTTTGATTAAAATTACTGCACTTTGTCTATGCTTAGAATTCAGGTGCCAACAAAATGCAGTTAATGATTTTTTTAAATAAAAAATTATAGTTTTGGCATTGGTATTCCAGTCATGAAAAGTGGCTAAATTTTCTAATGTTCTGAAAAAACTTGTACTGTTTACAGGGGACAAGATACTAATCAGTTATTGGTGACATTCTCAGAAGAATTCAAATCACTCACTTCTGGGAAAAAATTTAATAACCAGATCCCAGGAAACAGGGAAGTACAATGAATAGGCCTTTGTTGAGGTTATTTGTTTCTGTTATTCTCACTAACTTTTAGTAATAATCTGTTTTACTCCCTCTTCCCTTTTTTCCATTTTTCACCCCTTGTCTTTTTCACTTATTCTCTATAGAGAAATTTAGCCAAATTGTGTAATATACAAAAGAGCTATCAAGGATAAAGTTATTTATTTTCTGGCTCTTTAAATGTTTTTGAGAATTTGAGTGTTTTGTTTTATTTTACACTAACTGTGTTAGATGTGTTTTCTCGTTTTATTCTGAGCTACCAAGATATGAGCCCAGGACATATGACTCAGATTCTTCCACTCCTAGCAGCTTTGTGTATTGAGAAGCCATGCCAAAGTTAGCAGCACAGTGTTTAGAGTGCACGCTGTTGAAGCATACATCTACACTTGATTGAAATGTTAGTTGCACCATGAAATTTTTGTGTCACCTTAGACATAGATAAATCTAGTTAGCTCCATAGATAAATCTAGTTTCTTCATTTGATAAACCAGAAATAGTAACATTAGCTACATCATAAGGTTGTCGTAAGGATTAAATTAGCTGATATTATCAAGAACTTAGAGCAATGCTGACATACAGTAAGCACTTAATAATTCCTGCCCATAATCATTATTTCTATTGTTGGTTTATTTGGCTCTTGATTTACTAATTGTAGTGACCACTATAAGCACTCTATTCAGATCCTCTAGGGTCCCTTGCTGGATCTGTGCTCTCATCTCCCAGTTTCCACCTGCTTCCTCTAAGCATTGGCACCTACTAACTTCTTTAGAGTACTACCTTTAGGTGGCTGGAGTTGCCTATAGGATCAGAGAGCCACAAGTTCCAAGTAAACTTGAGTTTATGTCCCAACTGCGCAACCCCAAGCCAACTGTTGACAGATACAGAAACCATTTGCCTCTGTCTTGAGGCAAGGCACACTGCAATGTAACTTCTGCTTCAGAGATTCCCATGGGATCATGCTGAGGCTGGACTTTACCTTTGTTTAGGCCCCTCCCTCATTCCCTCTCCTGCTTCACCTACCCCCTTACAGGTTCCTCCCTAAAGCACCCCATTAATCATTTGCACAACAAATACACATCTCAGAATTAGCTTCTGGAAAACTCAGCTAGGGGATTTACTAGAGCAGACAGGGAATTCAGTCCCTTTTCCTGATATCATCAAAAGTTAGCAACACAAGGAAATTGTGGTGTGACCGATTTTATTATACCAGTAAACTTTTGTGCTAGCTATTATAATAATTGTTCTCACTGTGCTACAGATGTATAGGTTGATATTTGGTGGGAGTCTAGAGGAAGAAGTAATCAATTATGAATAAGACATAGAATAAATGGTTTCACAGGAGAGGTGACATTTGAGGTTAGCCATAAAATGTGAAAAGGATTTTGATATTGGCAAATATATATCAACTCTATTTCAGCTGTTTACCATGAACCACAAAATTGCCTTAAGATTTCGCTAATAGGTTTCAGAAGGAAATGGAAACCAAATAAAAATTTGTAAACATTATGATGATAACAAAGAAGAAACTGATCTGGAAAGTTAATAAACGAGTTTGGGAAGCAGTGGGAGGGAGTGTGTGTGTGTGTGTGTGTGTGTGTTTATTTACTTACGTTGTCCTTAGAGATTAAGAAAATAGAACAATGGAAGAGTGTAAAAATTGTATTGAATCAACATTTGAGAGGCCTGTCACCCAAGTCTTACCCACAGTCCACATAGCCACTGAAGTGTGGCATTAGTTAAGGTGAGACTAGTCTCTGGGTGCTTCTAAAAGTTCTCTGCACCCAAAAGCACATGAGAAGCCTGATTATTACCTCAAGGAATAAACTGTAGTTTGGGGAGAGGCATCTGCCTATTATCAGAGCATTCTAGGTTCATCCAAGAGTTTCAAATATATTTATTGTTCTTCTTCAGTCCAAGCAGGAAGGAGTGGTAGAAGACATCTAGACATAGGTTTTGACTCTTAGAGAGTAAGAGTATTTCAAATGTTCTCTGTGAATAACAAATATTTATGCTTTAATGCAGTAAAAAAAGAGGGAAAAACTGATGGAAAGAAAATTGAGCTATCAATAGTGATTGCAAATGTAAATAATTACCTCTTATTTGGAAGAATAATATAAATATCTTTGTTGACCCTTTTGTACTTTAGATTTTTCTAACATTGGAAGAACTCAGCCTAATATAAAAAAGTGCACGGCTCAAAGTATCTATTCCTCCCACCCCAAATCTCATTAACATTTTTTTTTTTTACTCTACTTGATCTTCCACACTGAAAAACAAATACTGCTAAATGTCTACTTTGTGGTTTTGACCTATATAAGAAATCTTCAACTTATATCTACCTATTTATTTCAGCAGTTCATTTGTAGGCTTTATTGTCACTAAGAAGATGTCATTTCCATTTGGCCACAATGCCTGAAAACATGTCTGGATGTAGGTTCTCTTTGGTACCTATTCTTGGACTTAGCTCAGTGGTAAACTCTATTTGTTGCCTGATAGCATACATTTCTCTTTTCTTCCTCCCTACCCAACTCTCAGTTTTGCTTAGCCCTAGCAGTGGCATTTCAAAAATTAATCATCCATTGACTGGAATTCTTCTGATAACTATTATGGGTCTAGAAGTGGACATGAGACCAAAGATGACCTATTCAGACATATAGCCCAAATACAGAGGGTTCTCTTACCTGGTGGACATGTTCAATAAAACATGTTATCCTAGTTGCTGTTGCATGTGAAAGCCAGCACAAAGATGAAGCTGAGCCTAAAGAATGACATAGAATTGTTATCAGCATCCTGATATACTAGAATCTGTCACATTTCTGGACTACATATTTTTAAAATTAATTTATTGGGGTGACATTGGTTAATAAGATTTTATAGGTTTCAACTTTATATTTCTATGACACATGATATGTATATTGCATTATGTGCCCACCACTCAAAGTCAAATCTTCTTCTGTCATTATATATTTGACTCTTTTTACTCTTTACTACTCTCCAACCCCTTCCCTCTGGTAATCACCATACTGTTGTCTGTGTCTAAGAGTTTTTGTTTGTTTGTTTATTTTTGTTTGTTCATTTGTTGCTATCAGTTTATATCCCAAAGACCTAAATATAAGGTCTGAAAAATAAATTACATAGAAGAAAACATTAGATATTAAACTTATGGACCTTGGTTGTAGAGAACATTTTATGAATTTGACCCCAAAGGCAAAGGAAGCAAAGGCAAAAATAAATGAATGGAACTATATCAAACTAAAAAGCTTCTGCACAATAAAAGAAACCATCAACAACAACAACAGCAACAGAGGCAACCAACAAAATGGGACATTATATTTGAAAACAACAGCTATGACAGGGGTTAATATCCAAAATATATAAAGAACTCATGCAACTCAACACCCAAGCAACAGATAATCCAATTAAAATAGGCGCAGGGCCTGAGCAAACTTTTTTCCAAGAAGACACACAAATGGCCAACAAATATATGAAAAGATGCTCAACTTCACTAGCTATTAGAGAAATGCAAACCAAAACTACGATGAGATACCACCTCATACCTGTTTAGAGTAGCTATTATCAATAAGATAAGTAATAACTAGTGTTGTACAGGTGTAGAGAATAAGGAACCCTCATTCGCTGCTGGTGGGAATGTAAACTGGTACAGCCACTATGAAAATCAGCATGGAGGGCCCTCAAAAAATTAAGAATAGAGTTACCATATGACCCAGCAATCCTTCTGGGTATCTACCCAAGAAATTTGACAACATTTATTCTCAAAAATATATGCACCCCTATGTTCATTGCAGCATTATTCATGGTGGCCAAAACATGGAAACAACCAAAGTGATAGATGACTGGAGAAAGAAGATGTGGTACATACATACAATGGAATACTATTCTGCCATAAGAAATGATGAAATACTGCCATTTGCGACATGTATAGACCTTAGAATATCATGCTAAGTGAATAACTTGGATTTCTTTAAATAATATAATATATTTATGTTTTATTTATAGTGGTTTCAATCAGATTTTTGATACTTGCAGCCAAGAGCATTCTAC